AAATTAAATAAAATATAAAATTAACATGCTAAATTGAAAAAGAGGAATTTTATTGTGTAAAAAAATTAAAATTATATATGTATTCTAATTTACAACAGAATTATGTGATTTAAATTTAAGAAAATAGACTTAAAATAAAGAAAAAATATAAATATAAATTTAAAAGAATAGATTGCAAATATATGAAAATTATAGTCTAAAAACAGGAATTAAAGATAAATATGTATTTTAAAGACATTCCTAAAACCAAACCTATAAATTAAGTAAAATCCAATTCAATACTATGCAATTCCTATCATTTCTAAGTATAGGGTAATTATCCTAAAACTAGTTTAATTATAATTATTACATGGGTAAATTACCAAATTCATCACTCAACTGTCTTTCTTTCCTAATTTGTCATTGAAATTTTAAAAAAATTAATTTAATTATTAAATTTTGTATTTTAAACTTTTCTGGTCACTCCTATGCTAATTTATTAACAGAGTAATGACATTTACTAAACAATGATGACATTTTAAATTAAACTTTTACTAATGGTTTGACTTTTCAACTTTTTTTTTGGATAAACTACACCACTTATCACTGAACGCTATTCTATCTCCCATTTCACTCACTGTATTTTTAATTTTTTTCGATATGCTCACCAAACTTTATAGATATAATTTTTTTAGTCACTCGATCATTTTCTCTCTAACGGTGTGATGATGTGGAAGTCAACACCAAAACGACGTAGTTTTGGATCTTATAAAAAAAATAAATTTAGATCAAAACGACATAATATTAATCTAAATAATTTTGTTTTTCATTTTGGCTATTCCCTTCTTCTTCCTTCCCTCGTCTATCCATTTCTCTCCCTAATCTCATTTGAACCCAGGTTCCGACCACAACACCGCAATTATTCAGACCACCTCTGACCACCTTTTCCGAAGATCAATACCAAATACTGACTTCGAAACTAGCTAAAAAGAACAATGCTACCATCATTTATATTTTTTATAGTTGAAGAAGAAATTAAAGAGACAATAAGAAGTCCAATTGTATCATATGATGCTTGAAGAAATAAATCCCAAGGGAAAATCATTTTGGATAAATCAATCCAATAACCCACATATTCTTTCCAAGACCTTTAAATTAGATAGAAAAATGGTGAAAAATATGCGACTCAAATTCTAATTGTATAACAATATGTTCATTGCACAAAAAGAACATATTCCATTTAAGATATGTGAAAAAAACATTACATTCTTTATTCAGTGCTATAAAAAAACCAAATGATGTGGTCTAAAGAATTCATTCTAAGCAAGTTGAAGTCAAAATCTAAAAGAACAATTCTCCAATCTCCTTCACTCTTACAACTTCTTCACAATCTTTTCTCATTGTCGGATGAAACAAATGGGAAAAAAATGGAATGAAGATAAACCCCAAAAAAAATGTATATCAACTCTCTCATGAAAAAAATAATAAGTATATGCGGTGCATGAGTAAACAACTAAAAATTAAAACTAGAAAAAAACAAACAAACTAAAAAATAAATAAATAGTTGAAGAAAATTTGTACCTCAAACTTAGAGAGTGGAGTGGTGATACGAGACTTTTATGGGGTATCTATCATTTCCGGAGGAAAAAGAAATTTGTTTATCTTTTTTCTATTGTTGAAATTTTTTTCTCTATCCATATGTTTTAACTTTCAAGATAGCAAACATAGAGTAATGAGAGAGAATAAACAATGGAACAAAGAAGAAGAGGGGGATGATAGGAGAGGACTTGAGATTTTATAAAGACAATGATTTTAGAATATAAAAAAACATAGAAAAATCCAAAAGTCAGTTCTTAATCATTGATCTATGATGAAGGTGGTCAGAAGTAGTCAGAATAGTTGCCGACGTGGTGATCAAAATCTGAGTTCAAATGGGATTAATGAGAGAAATGGAGAGAGAAGGGGAGGAAGAAAAAGGAAGAAGCAAAGAGCAAAATGAAAGGAAAGAATAAAAGAAAAATACTTTTTTTTTATTTAGATCAAAACTACATCGTTTTGATCTAAATTTAACTTTTTATAAGATCCAAAACTACATCGTTTTAGTATTGATTGCCACATCATCACACCGTTAGAAAGAAAACGATCGAGTAACAAAAAAAATTTAATCTATAAAGTTTAGTGAGCAAATGAAAAAATTGATAGTTTAGTAAGTGGAATAAGAGATAGTAAAGTTCAGTAACAGATGGTGTAGTTTACCCTTTTATTTTGCACAATCTTTTCTTCTTTAATTTGTGTCTTCTTCTTTGTTCTTTCATCTTGATGAATTCTTATCTTAATTTTTTGCTTATTTTCTCTGTAAGATGTCGCAAACTGAAATAACTGGGCCTTGAGTTCAAATATACATGAAGCAAAAACAATAAAACGATAATATTAGTGGTGGATATAAGTTATAACACCAGTGGAAAATGGAAAGTGGTAACGGCCATTTTGCCTTTGTACACATCTTAGACTCAGTTCTATGCAAGTGTTGAACGTACAACTCTCTGATTCTGTGTCTTAGTTGTCTGCTACCTGAATGAAAACTTCTTTTATAACATATATTATGTCCCTTACACGATATCCGAAGATTCAAACTGTCATTTTTACCCCAAGGTATAATCAAAAAGTAGTATTTGTGATTTTATATTCAAGCATATACGACGTCCCTTATCTTTGAACAAATAGGGAAAAGTACGTAGGAGTGCCACAGAAGTGATTGCATAACTGATGCCTCCTAAGTAAGAATATTTCATGTTTCATGTTGATTGAAAGCTGTATTGCTGCTAAAGAACCTCTAGTATCGGTAAACCGTAGGTTTCACATGAACTTTTTTTTTCCCAATCGAATCAAATATTATTGCGACATGATTTGCTAGGATATTATTAGATCAAGATCGAAAACTGCAAACAAATGTTTCAATGAAAGTTTGTCCGATTTCTGCAAATAATGCTGGGTTGAGCAGCAGCTCACTCAAGCTTGATTTGCAAAAATAACAGACACAAGAAGCTATCTTCAGGAAGTGTGGCCTGCCCAGTGCAATTCCCATGGAGATAAAAAGGCTGTCCAAGGAAGCCAAGATTGGTAATAAAAAATCATTTTATTAGACTGTCACAATCCCGTTGCAAAATTAACGATCAAGCGACAAAAAAAATTTAATGGGTAAAGTTTGGTTATTAAATTAAAAAAATTTAAATTTAAGTGACCAAAATAGAAATAAGAAGAAAGTTGAGTGATGATTCGTATATTATACCCTATTTACACATATTCCTAATAAATTAGTCTATGAAATTCTCACCTCATCGAACAAATATATGAACTCGGAAGAATTTAAGGTAGAAACCAAAATTCTTGTAGCAATGTCAGGCTGGATCTTGCTTTTTCCCATTTGTCAGCTCTTTCTGCATGGTAAATCAAAGATAGGGGTGAGTGTTTGATTCAAAAAATTGATGAACTTTATTTTATAACTAATATTTTATTTTAAAAAAATAAGTTTAATTTATAAAACTTTAGTCTAGTCAAAGTATTCAAATTTCTTTTTAAATTTAATTATAAATATTTATAATATCATGATACTATTAGATTTCACCTTAAATAATTTCCCATAACTATGTATAACTTTTCATATGTGATATACATATATTATATGTAGTCAAAAACTCGACTCAAACTTAAGAATTAATCGACTATCTACTAAAAATTTCAAGTTATTTGAGATATTCAAGTTTTACTTTATAACTCTATTCAAATTTTAAAAAATTCGAGTTAAGTCAAATTTATAAAATTATTATATAAAATTAATTCAAATTAATTTTTTTAAAATTTGAATTGAAAAACACTAAATTTTCAAATCGAATTTTACTCTCTTCTGATCAAATAGGCCAAAAATGATTATTTTGTTCTCTCAATATGCTTATATTAAAGGACAACATGCTAAGAATCAAAACCCTAAACAACCGATACCATTTGATTCACAGTGCTAAGTTGCGGCCAGTACCGTAAAATGTATCGGTAATATAAAATTAGAATTACTTTTAAAAAAATAAATCACGGGCGTAACATTCACAACGTCAACAACTGCGACTGCAACCTTCAGTACTATGATTTGATTAGAATCCCAAATCTTTTCATGTATGGGTCTCCGAATATGATAAATCCTTAGTTACGATCTTGTACTCTATTTTCAATAGGGTTCTATGGCAATGCTAAAATTTACTTAAAGAGAAGGTATTTGAATGATTGGGTAAAATTGAACAAATCCACAAGAAACAGAAGATTCTAAGATAAATAAATTATGAAGAACGAATTAATTTTACCAAAACTTTTGAACTGGGAATTTAGCCCGCGATGCCGTCACTGCCAACAATGTTCGATTTCATTGAAGGCTCTCGACTGCGGGCAGTCTTCACTGCAGAAAACAACGAGAGGCTTTGAAACCCACTCTCGTTCCGCCCTAAGGCGGAGCCACCGGCATCGCCTTAAGGCGGAGGGCGGCTGAGGGAGAAGGAAGCCCTCGAGTTCTCTGCTCAGATAAGATCAAGTAGCTGGTCCAGAAAGGAATCGGCTTTCCAGTTTTATAACGGTGAAAACCCTAGGCGCCTCTGAAATCTCCATGTGGTTTGGGCTGCTAATAGACTGGGAGTGAATATCATCTAACCTTGAACGAAGTCTAAAGCCCAATAAACTCATCAAAACTCTAAATAAGATATAATCTTAGAATGTCATTTCATCATAAATTATGATGTTTTTTTTGCCCTCAAAATTTCATAAATTCATTTTTGTAACATAAAGTCATACGCATGTCTATGAGTGTTAGAATTCTAAGCATTTAGGCAATGATAATTGATAAATGGGTTTGTTGAGCCAAATCTATGTGAGTTTGAAGAGTAGGGTTGAAAGACCAGCAGATGAGATTTTACTTACCAGTCCAACACCATTACTACTCTTAGCCACTAGGCTTCTCTCTTTGTGTATAAATCGTAATAATCTCTATACACACAGAAGAGAAGAGAAAAACATGCCGCCACCAGGATGGGGACCGCCGCCGGGGCCTCCTGCCGGCTGCTTTCATTTCATTTGTGGTGGTATTTGCCGTCTTATTTCATCATGGTGAGTTTCATTACACATACAATAAAAACGTTCTCGTCACAGTGGCTAACCTTATAATTTTGCATTTTCAACTCTTATATTATTAGCAATGAAATTATTTTAATTTTACATGCTTTTCTTCTTCTTTCATAAATCATTCAACCTCGTTAAATTCAAAATAATTTTACATAACTTTATTTATTTTGGAAAAATTCGTTCATCAAAATTATTGCTACTACACAATTTATTTTTTCTGTTTCTTGGGTGTAGTTTTTATGTTCTTTGCTGCTGCTGCATGCTGGAAAGCTGCTGTGGGCCACTGTTGGGCGGGCCACATGGCCCACGACCTTTCTAATTACGATGCTCGTTTCACTTTTAATTAACCCTGTTTCTCATTTGTGATAAGTGGCGTAAACTAACAAGATTTGGATGAATAAGATTATGTTCGTGTTGGTTTGTTTATTTTTAAAATTATTCATAATTGATTCATGTTCGTTTGATTTTTTTAGTATTTTTTTTCTTTTTAAAGATGCTCATGTTCAATCCGTTTATATATTAAGAAAATTGTGAAATCACAACACTAGTCCTTAAGTTTCATAGTTTCAACTCTAAAGTTCACATTCTGTTTAGTTTTAGTCTTACCATCACCAATATTTAAAATATAAAAATAAATAAAGGAAAAGAAGAACCAATAAACAAGTCGATAAATGACCTTTTAAATTTATTCATGAATATAAACGAACTGAACACACTTTTATTTGTGTTTGTTCATTTATTAAACGAACATAAATATTTTATTCATACTTACTTATTTAACTTAATAAACGGATATTATATTAACAATTCATGAAAAAAATTATCAAAAACTTTGTTGATGAACACACATTTTTTTGTGGTTGTGAAATAAACTATAAAGGATAATATAATAAGACGGGTATGGAGGGGTAATTGTTCCTAAAAAATTTAAATTTTTATATGGTTTATATTTTTTTTAATATTTTATTATTTTTAATTTAAAATTTTATAAATTCCAGTGTAACATAAAATCTTATTTGTCTTATGTTATAACTCGCATATTAAACCATCGTCTAGACCACGTAATTTATTTTAGAGAAAATAACATTAGTGACCAAAAATATCTTATAATATACGATTTTAACCAATTTTTTTTGGATTTGCCAAAATCGCAATGCGATCGATAATTCGCGACGCGATCTCCGGTATCGCAAATCAGTTTCCATATTCGCAACGCGCACTTCGACTATCGCATTGCGATAGTCCAAGTCTTAAATACCATTCCCAATAGTGTTTCCAATACTATGTGGGATTGAGCATTACCAACACTTGTTTCCAATACTATGTGATTATTCAGGAAACAATTAACAATCATGCACCTTAAAACAACTGAATCAACAACCAATTACATTAGTATTATACGATTAAATATGTCATAATTAAAAGTCAATCTACAATCAATCGCGATTATTACAATTTTAAGCAAAACATTCAAAAAAAATTGCATCACTCGCGAGAATAAAAAAAATTGTTATCGTGCAATTACAATCAATTGAAAATAAATTAAAATTGCATGAAAACTAAACGAACCACAAATACTTTTCATACAAATACTAAAGTCATTAACTATAATTCACAAATAATATCACTATTTAAGGCTCAATCCCACATAGTATTGGGAACAAGTGTTGGTAATGCTTAATCTCACATAGTATTGAAAATACTATTGGGAATGGTATTTAAGGCTTGGTTTTCCCACTTCCTTGTTGAGTGATAGAGAACAAGAGAGACTCTCGCGCGCCGCCGCCGCCGCCGTCCGTCTCGGGTCGGGTCGTGGTCGTTGCGATTTTGGACTATCGCAACGAATTTGGAATAAATCGCAACGCGAACTTGGACAATTTGAAATAAATCGCAACGCGAATTTGGACTATCGCAACGCGAACTTGGACGACCGCAACGTGAACTTCGACTATCGCAACGCGAACTTGGACTATCACAACGAATTTGGAAAATCGCATTGCGATAGTCGAAGTTCGCGTTGCAATAGTCGATGTTCGCGTTGCGAATCTGGAAACTGATTTGTGATACCGGAGATCGCGTTGCGAATTATCGATCGCATTGCGATTTAGTTGGTCATTTTGGCAAATCCAAAAAAAGTTGGTTAAAATCGTATATTATAAGACATTTTTTGTCGGTTATTTTCTCTTTATTTTATAGCAGATACGTCAATAAATCCGACGGTCCTGATTTAATTTCACGTTTTAAATTTTTGTCATGAGTCGTCTATGTTCTTTGCATTCAGATGATAGCCCGCGCAACACGGCCCTTCCTTCTCTTTAGGTTGTCGTAAAATAAAAAGCTCCAATCCCATTTCCCTAAATCTAAACACAAAATTTCAAAAAAGTTTCAACGCATCAAAAGGAAAAAATTTTTGAAGCTGGAAATTTCTTGGGAGATTGTTGCAGATTGCAAGGTGGAAGATTAATGTAGGAAATTTTCGAAAAGGTGGAACTTTGGATTCTTTCAAATCACATAAGACTTGCGGATAGAGAAACAAACTTTGAAAGGATCTTGTCCATTCAAGACGATTCGGTAAGTTTTATTTTGTTTTGTTTTTGGACGTTTTATTGCTGATATTTGAAAAAAGTAGTTGTAAAATGGTGAAACATAAATGCGGTCTTCATGCATGTTGTTGTTATTGATTCTTCAAATCAATTCGATAAGTTTCTTGTTCTTTTTAACGTTCGGATAAACAAAACATAAAGAAAGAAAAATGGGAGAAAAATGTACGTTTTGAGAACGAATATGCGAAGAAATGAGTATAACTCTTTGGGTTCTTCCGTAAAATGCAGAGTTCTTAAGGAAGCCTGGAAGTGTTTGAAGATATATAATATTGAATGAGAATACAAATCAAAAGATTTGATCTATAACTTCATTCAATTGGAATAAATTGATTGTTTTCAATAAACAAGAGGTCAAAATGGTGGCATCTCAGGTAGCTGCTGTCTTATCCAACTTACAAACATTATATTCAGACCATGCCTCTGTGGTCTCCATGAACCTATTTGTCGCGCTTCTTTGCACTTCCATTGTGATCAGTCATCTTTTGGAGGAGAATCGATGGATGAATGGATCGATTACTGCCCTTATTATTGTGAGTTTGTCATTTATAAACGTGAATTTATTCTATTTTAAACAATTAGGCTAATTTTGGTTATGCTTGGATTATATGTTCTACTTGTTCTAGCACATTTGAATTTAATGATTTTACGGCAGGGTCTTCTTACTGGGGTCATTATCTTGTTGGCAAGTGGGGGTAAAAGCTCACGTCTTTTAGTCTTCAGTCAAGATCTCTTCTTTATTTATCTTCTCCCCCCTATTATATTCAATGCTGGGTAAGTTTGTTCTGTTTCAATTTTCTTTCTCTTGTGAATGGAAAAAATGGAGATTGTTAGTTATAGATTATATAAGCTAAAATAGATGGCTATGCAACAATTATTCAACAGGGAACTTTACTTTGTCTAAATTCCTCTTCCCTGGTTTTAAGCCATTTTGCCGGGACTTGAGTATGAGTATCAAATATAGATACCTGTCCATATGAGTATGTTCAATTTTTTCCAAGCCTTTTCATGCATCCGTAAGATATTTGGAAGGCCGTCCTGATGGCCATATCTGGATATGTGTTCAAGGGTTTTGAACACAGATGCTTTAGAGAAAATGAGTGTTCAAAGTAATGGAGCTAGCTTGAATTTGACTGCATTGAGAATTTCTTCTTCTTTTCAACATTGTATATAAGATCACAGGTGTCTTTCCTGCAATGTTGAGGTTACTTTTTAATTAAATTCTGTTTTAAGGGAAAAAAACAAGATTACATTTAGTTTATTATTTGCCTTCCTAAAGCCTTTTCTGATCTCTGCTTCTTTCCCAGGTTTTCTGTGAAAAAGAAGCAATTTTTCCGTAACTTTATTACCATCATGCTATTTGGTGCTGTTGGTACATTAATATCTTGTACAATAATATCTATAGGTAATTTCTACTACTTTATAGATTCTGTTGATAGATATACAATACCTTTAATTTATATATTGTTTTACGGGTGACCTTTGGGGGTTAGCAGCCCAGGGGCAACATAAGGGGTCGGATTGGTTTGTAGATGTACTTCTTAATATTCTCGAGATTAATTTGGTGGTTGTGATAGAATCTCTTATTCTTCAAACAGGTGTTATTAAGTTCTTTAAGGAAATGGACATTGGGTCATTGGATGTGGGAGGTTTTATAGGTATTTTCCCTTATTGCCCCCTTCCTTTTCAAACTGGTTTGATTCATGTTTCTGCATCTTACTATTTTTTGTTGTTGCAATTTTCAGCAATTGGTGCAATCTTTGCTGCAACAGATTCTGTTTGCACACTGCAGGTATACATAAATCGAAATTGTAGTAGCATTTCTAAATTGAACTACTAGTATATCAAACTTACTAAACTTAAGGTGCTTCTTCTGATGGTACAGGTTCTTAATCAGGATGAGACTCCATTGCTCTACAGTCTGGTTTTTGGGGAGGGTGTTGTAAATGATGCAACATCAGTGGTGCTTTTCAATGCAATCCAGAGTTTTGACCTCACTAATACGAGTCCTGGAATTGCTTTGCATTTTATTGGAAAGTTTTTTTATTTATTTTCAGCAAGCACTCTGCTAGGAGTGGTTGTAAGTCGCTTTTCATACAAATATGATTTCATTCTGTGAACATTGCACTTTCACTTTACATTTATCTGATTTTTCATTTCCTTGACTGCGTCCAAAGCAGTTTTGAACATTGGTATCTGGGGATATATCCTTTTAAGGACCCTCCAAATACTTAGAAAAGCTTCTAAAATTGAAAATATTTGTATCGGACACATACATGTATCCGACTCTCACACAGGAGTCCGGTAACATAGCTTCCCCCAAGGTGTGATATTTTTCTTTTCTTTTCAGGTTGGACTGGTAAGTGCTTATATCATCAAAACGTTATACTTTGGAAGGTATGTTTCGGATGCTATCTGGGTTTTATATCAACTAGCTCTTGAAAATAAAATCTCAATATACTTCTATAAGAATCTGATACTCCTTTCTAGGGAATTAAATTTTAGAGAAATAGTGTTTTTAATCGTTTTTTATATTAAAATGTTTTACTCTACAGAAGACTCCAACAGAACATGAATTTTGTTGTTACAGTACAGTTTTTTATGGTACAGTCTTTTAAGTCGAGAACTAATTGAATGTTAACATTATCCAGGCACTCAACAGATCGAGAGTTTGCTCTTATGATGCTCATGGCATACCTTTCATATATTATGGCTGAAGTAAAGACTCTTCTCAGGATAATATGGCAGTTTATTGCATTCATTTTTATTTCATTTGGATAAATCTAATACTGCATCCCCTGCAGCTGTTCTATTTGAGTGGCATTCTCACCGTGTTTTTTTGTGGGATTGTGATGTCGCATTATACGTGGCACAATGTTACTGAGAGTTCACGAGTAACTTCCAAGTATGTATCCTCCATATTACTGTCTTAGAGACAATAAAGTTCATGGATCATTGATATTAGGAGGGAAGAGAACTTGTTAACTGGTGTTATCTTACATAAGTTGGGGGTTCTGTATTCTTATATTCAAGTTACACCCTTGTAACTATTGCTAATTGGTCTTGGTATAGACGCTTAACACCTCTTAAACGAATGTTTAACTCTTTATATGCCTCAAATGACTCGGATCTTTTTTACAGGCATGCTTTTGCTACCCTGTCATTTGTTGCTGAGATTTTTATTTTTCTCTATGTTGGAATGGATGCCTTGGGCATTGAGACATGGAGCTTTGTAAATGATAGGTATTCTCTATGCCGATGCTGCTTCAACTTATCATTTGTCTGACAAAATGTCACACTCAAAGTCTTCAAATATATGGAAAAATTTTAAACACGTTCGTATCCGATAATCACACCTAAGTCTGAGTGCATAACTCTATGCTTCAGCTGGAATAAGTAAATTTTGGTAAAATGTATGTCAATTTGGTCTTGATCCTTTTGCTTCAGGTATATTTTTCAGATTCTCTTTTCCATTTCCTTTATCTCCCTTGCAACTTGTACAAAATAACATCTATATACAGAATGATCTGATGTTGTGACATTGGATTTGATCTCCTCTTTGCAGACCTGGAGCATCAATCATGGTTAGTTCCGTACTGCTTTTGCTGGTTATGGCCGGAAGAGCAGCTTTTGTGTTTCCCCTGTCATTTTTAACCAACTTGGCCAAAAAATCACCTAGTGAAAAGATCAGTTTTAGGGAACAAGTACGTGTTTGTGGCGCTCTCTTTTGCTTCCAAAATCAATTAATAATGTTGTTTGGCATTTGGCATTACAATATCTTTGTAATCTTTTGTTCAGATCATAATATGGTGGTCTGGTCTCATGAGAGGTGCTGTATCTATGGCACTTGCATATAATCAGGTAAAGTTTTCTAAAAGATTACGATGAAATTAAAAAAAAAATGTTTGACGCATTTTTGAGTTAAGTTCAGAGATTTGATTGAAAATCTGATAGACTTTATGTAATGAAAATGCAGTTTACAAAGGGAGGGCACACTCAATCGCGATTGGATGCCATTATGATTACAAGCACTATCACCGTCGTTCTTTTTAGCACTGTGGTATCTTATTTTTACTACTTAGATATTCCTTGGCTGGCATCTTATTTTGTTCTTCTTGTCCCTTTGGTTAAAGATCTGATGTAGAGTCTTAACTGAGGATTCGAGTTTCACATTAGGGATGGCAAAAAAACCCGAACCCGACGGGAAAAATCGAAAATCAAATTAAACGGGGACGGGAAAACCCGTTTATGCTAAACGGAGACGGAAAAAACCGTTTATGTTAAACGGGAACGGGACGGGTTTAGTAATATCCGCCCCGATTACCCGGCCTGATACCCAACCCGATAAATATTAAAAATAATTATTTTATATATATATATATATATAATATTAATAAATTTAATTTAAATTAAAAATATTTATATAATATTTATATATTTAATTTAAATATATATACCCGGCCCGATACCCGTTTAAATAACTGTTTATGCTAAACAGGGATACTCGTTTCCCCGCGGTTTTATCCGATTACCCGTTAGGGATCTCCGTTTAAATCCCCGCGATTTTTTAAGCGGGGATGAATACGAGTTTTTTAAACGGGAACGGGGACGGGGGACCAATACCCGGCCCGAACCCGGCCCGTTGCCATCCCTATTTCACATAGATGAAGTTTGTATTCGCACTGTAAAATCCGACGCCTAAATACCATGTTTTAGCATCTTTTTCCTAGTCTTGTTCTTTTTTTTTATCTTTGGCATAACGATTTCTTGTAGATGTTAGTAGCTCTTTATCTGAAGTTCTTATTTGCAAGAACTGTATCATCATTACCCGGTCATGTTTTCTTATCCGTCTTAGTAGCTCTTTATCTGAAGTTTGTATTCGCATGATCGAATCACATACCTGAACTCCACATTCTGTCATCATTTTCTGATCGGGTTTTTGGAGATATTGGTAACTCTTTTTCTGTTGTTTCGGCTGATCAGGTTTTTGGACTATTAACTAAACCTTTAATAAGGTTCTTGATACCTCATCCCAAAGTAACAACAAGCATGCGCTCCGGGCAGTCTTCTCCAAAATCGGCTACAACGCCGTTTCTCGGGGACTCCTTTGATGATAGTCCAAAGGGAGGTCAGCGGCCAAGCAGCATCCGCGCACTTCTTACGACTCCAACACACACCGTTCATCACTACTGGCGCAAATTTGATAACGCCTTCATGCGGCCCATGTTTGGTGGCCGGGGTTTCGTTCCGTTCGTTCCCGGCTCCCCAACCAAAAGGAGTGAACATTAATCTATCTCAATTACTCTGAGAGACTGCTGCGACAATTCGGCTACTATGCTCCGGAGTTGATCTCAAACACGCCAACATCTTGTATTCTTGTATAGGGTGAGCCAGAAGCTTGAACCGTAACGGTTTTTGTTATGTATCATATAAGGTTAATTTTGTTAAGGCTATAGTTATCGAAAGAAATGTCTTCGAGTCGGGCCTTCTATCTCAATTATCGCATACCCATTTTAAATTTTAAATATTAAACAATCCAATCTAATATTTATTGAATGATATATATATTAATTTCAAATTTAAACATTAAATAATTTAATTTATTGTTTAACTGAATATCAAATCTAGATGTAATCCAATACAATTTATATTCAACTTGTCATTTATATTTATTAACCTTAGTAATAGTCTAATAAATTTATTAACATTATTATTATTTTGCGTGTGTATATTTACATGTTTAATTAAATATGTCAATTAAACTCTCAAAATTCTAAAATCACGACAGATACATTTATTTTTTAAAATCTATGTTAAATAAAAGGAAAAGTTACATCAAGTACCATCGAATTTTAAGTATTGTATTATTTATACTACTGAACTTTTAATTTTTATCAATTATAACATTAAATTTTGATTTGCGTTTAGATTATACCACTGAACTGTTAAATCATTAAAGACACAATGGCATGGTTGACGGTTGTCGACGTGACTAACGATTATCGATGTATACACTTCACCAAAACAATGTCATTTTGATCTGATTGTTAACGATTTAACGGTCTAATGATATAATTGAAACAAAAATTAAAGTTCAATACTACAATTGGAAAAATTAAAAGCCTAATAGTATAAACGATATAACATCTAAAGTTTAATGGTATCTCCTGTAATTTACCCTAAATAAAATAAAAACAGTCCCAGTGGATCTATGTCCCCCATGTGCCATGCGCAGTGCAACACAAGATTCCAACTCGTTGTCAATGCTATAAAAACCAAACTCTTAAACCCTCAGATCACTCCATTCATCTTCTTCCCCCGCACTCTCCTCGATCTCTTCGCCGTTTCTCTTTTCCGTCCTCTCGTATCTCAGCATCCCCTCTAATGGCATCCATGGCTGGTTCATCAATCACCATGCAGCCTCGCAACACCCTTGTACTTTCTCCTCTCTTCTATCTTTTTTAGCTACTAACTCGTTTATTTTTCTTATTCTTTGTTATTTGTTTGTTTGTTGGGTATTTTTTTGCTCGATCTGTTTGTTGTTTCAGTTGATCTGTTTGTTGTTTCTGTTTTTATGGATTTTAGTCTAATGTTGGGATTATTGCTGTTATCGAGGCTTTGCTGTTCAATTTTTTAGCTCAACTTCTTTCATGGATGATTTGATCGGGTTAATCTGGGATTTGAGACATTCTAATATATTCTCCTTATTTTTATTTTTTTCTATTATCTTTTTTAGGATTTTTGCTCTCGGGTTTTTTTCTTTGATTTTTATTTGGATGTAAATAATTATTATTTGTTAATTCAAATTGTAACCGAGAACATAAGAAATGTTTTCACTTGCATTTAGAACGAAGGATTTTTGCTGATTTGGTGTTGCGTTATGGTTAGTCGTTCTTCTATAATCAATTATGTTATTGGGTAGAGAGTAAAAAGCAACTAACCGGAAGGAGATCTGTTTTTTTTCCACCTCAATAAGTTGTTCTAGGGAGGGAAGCAATAGATTCTGGGTATAATTCCTTTTTTTTAGTTTAAGAAAGTTTGCGGTATTGACTTCTTTCTTTTTCTGTACATGATTTTCAATGGAATTAATTCGATAATAACATGGAACATCACATACGAATGACATAATATATGGTAAAGATGGAAACTTTAGTACCATGAGAATTCACATATGGTGACCTGTAACTTATCATTAGTAGAAAGAAAATTTTAGTGCTTATGAAATTTTATTAGTATATTGTTGGATTTGGGATTGATGTGCAGAAGTAAAGTTTCTGTTTTGCTTGGAATAAGGTGTTGATCTACTTTTGAAGATTGTTGTTTCTTCCAGAACTATTCTTTTTATGTAAATTATTGGCTGATTTCTGTGCTGTTGAACTTCTTTTGGCAGGCTTCAAGGAGTGTTTCTGGGTTGAAATTGGGTTCATTTATGAAGCAGGGAGGAAGAAGCCTCTCATTTACAATGCGTCCAATGCCTGCTCGCTTGCAGATAAGCTGTGCTGTATGTTTCTAGCTGAATACAATGATATTAGTTTCTATAGTACTTACTTTTGTAGATGTGGTAGTGATCATGAGAATGCACTTCCCCTGTTACAATATATATATACTTAACTACTTTCTCTTTGATATGCTTCAATTGGAGTTTCGGAAAAATATCATTAAACTGTATGTTTTCTCTTCATATTTATCACGCCTGCATGAGTATTAAAATATTGTCATCTTCTCTATCATATGAAGGGTTTGCTGTAAATATGCTAGTTATGATCCATAGTTATGCAGAATTGACAGTTATACTGATGGTGAATAACATAATGATGATGCCTTGAGCTAAATGTCATTTTACAGGCCAAAAAAGAGACTCTGGATAAAGTTTGTGAAGTAGTAAGGAAACAACTAGCTGTAGAAGATGACAAACCAATCACCGGTGAATCGACATTTCTTGATCTTGGAGCTGATTCCCTTGATACGGTACTCTCCCATCTCTATAACCCTTTGATGTTCTTTCCTCGATTTAATCTTATGCACATATAAGTAGTGTGCAGGATCAAGGGGAGCATGAATTTGTTAAGTGGTTGTTTTTTAACTTGAAAGATCATTGCTTGTAGTTTGTGTTATAATTGTTAGAATACCATTTCAGGTTGAGATTGTGATGGGACTGGAGGAAGAATTTGGAATCACTGTGGAAGAAGACAATGCACAGAGCATTACAACTGTTCAAGATGCTGCAGATCTCATTGAGGAGCTCTGCAGCAAGAAGAGTGCCTAGAAAACTAGTTAAGTCGGACGGTTTGAATGCCGATGTTTGGTGTCTTTTCTTGTGTGTGAACTTTTATGTTCAATATGTAGGAAAACTCGTAATAAAGTTGTTGGGATTATTGGTTATGAATTTATATTTGTCACTTTTTTTAGTTTTTTATAAGAGCTTGTTTGTTGTAAGCTATGAGGGATTGGACTGAGTTGAAGAAACCGCTGCTGTTTCTTTAACTCCGCTGATGACTTCCTCTCCTGAAACCATGATTGAAAGGAAGCATTTAAGCCAGAAATTAGTTGGAAATATAATTTTGAAAGCATAACTTTGCTTATCAATAGGAAGCAACTAGACTGCAGCCAAAGTCGAAATTACTGATATCAACTCCACAGATGTTTCATTTAGTGATCGATGCTTGCTGGATGCAAGCTTGTCACGACCATCAAGAGGGATTACACTAAGATCAATCTCTCTTCAAATGCTTCAGCTGGCTAATGTGGCAATAGTTTGTTTAATTTGCCTTGGAGATTTTTGTGGGAGAGATTAAGCCGCTCGTAGCACCAAATTGAGGGACTTCTCTTCTGTCATAACCATTTTTTTTGTAAAACAATTAAATATTATTTTTAAAACGATTATGACTTTAATTAAAAAAAATTGGTGATTATGGATTAATTAAAATTAAATTGAAAATGAGTCGCCATCGACCTTTGGGTTAGGTAGGTCGAATACCTAAAAACGTCTTTTAAAAACAATTTTAAGAAAAATAGTTTTATAAGACCAAAATTTGATCTACGTTACCAAAGATTCATTTAAAACAGGTTCGGGAGTCGGTTACGTGTGGGGAAGGATAAACACCCCTACAACGCCCAAAATTGGTACTGTGTCGCTTACACTTTGTCGTAAATAGTGGAAATAATGAATTCACATCTACAATTAAAATATGATTCATTTATCGAAATTAATTAATTTCCTTCGAATTATTTAATTGGGAAAAATTCTTTAACTTGAAAAGAAACTTCGAGATTAACAATCCTCCATCGGGAAAGTTATCTCGTCTATTTCTTATCTGTAAAAAAATATTTCCTCATCTATAAAAAAAACAAATAGAATATAAATTAAATATGGACAATTTGTATGAAATAAAATAAATTGTTATTTACAAAATTACTCATTGCATCATTTGAATTATAATATAAACAAATTAATTAGTAAAACAGAAATTGATTTATTTCAAATTCCATTTAGTTCAAACGTCGTATTAGATTGTACCACTTCGATCAAGTGATACTTTCTACGCCCGTTCTAAAAATACGTTCTTGAAAATTTCGAATAACATATACTAGATAAAGAAACATAATGGAAATAAATAAAAATGAAAATATACGAAATAAAACATACACAACAAATAAAGTTAAACATATTTATTTACATATGATATAAATAATACATAACATAAAGATATGTACATATATGAAGGATTAACATAAATACAAATGAATAATACGATCACTAAATAAAATGATATAAAAAAGTAAATATTTAATTACAAGGACCAAAATAGCAAAAATAAAATTTCAAAGGACCCAAAATAATTTAAACAAGAAATTAAAGGACTGAAATAGCTGAAACATAAACTTAGGGATTAAAATAGATAAAACAGAAATCAAAAGGGCAAAATAAATAGATAAACCAAAATGCATTCATAATATACAATGATTAAAACGAAAGAAAAATAGATTTCATGACCAGTTTGGAACATTAATGAAAATAATATATCACAGGGTCAGTGATTAGAATAACATTTATAAACATCGGGATCAATGTCAAATATTTACAAGAAATGTATAATACATAACACAGTGACTAAAATATAATATTTACAAATGACATGGCCAGATTAAACCATCAAAGAAAATAAACATCTAAAATCAGTGACTAAAATGAACTAAATCACAAATCAGAGCTTAAAACAAAGTATTTACCCATAACACACTAGTGATCAAATAGGGATCAAAATGAAAAGATATAAATTATCAGGCAACCAACATAATTTAAACAAAACACCATAATAATAAATAAATAGGGACTGGAATGAAATACAAAAAAAAATATACATTACATAATACGAATATACTAAAACAGTATAACCAAATTGAAATAATATCATAAAAAATTAAAACAAACAAGGACAAAATTGCAAGGTTAAACAAGTTAAGAGCTTAAAGTGAAAAACCATTAAAATTCAATATATTAATGAAAACTGAAGGTTTACAAACTACAGGGACCAAATATAACATTAACCCCTAAATCTCAGGACACGGGTATATGTTTACAAAAGCACAAGGACTAAAGTTGAGATAATCCCATTTTAGGGTTATTTTGAAACCCCATCTCATTTACTTCCTCCTCAGCCGTTTCTTAAAGCAATCCAAGGGAGAGAGTTCCTTTGAACTCTTCCCAAACCATGCCACGGAATTCCACTCTGACCGCCAGGGCTTGGCGCCGATTGGAGACCAAACCGGTCCCAAACGACCCCTTTCACACCCTCAAATTAAAACCCCAAACTTAAATCACCCAAAACCACTTTAGATCTAAAAACCAGTGGTTACCTTCAAACCTCGGTGACCTTGGCTCGGTGAAGACCCCGGCTATGACTGCTTGAAAGGTAACCTTTCGATTCTCTCTCTTTTCCTTTCCTCTGTTTTTTAATTTCGAATGCTCTCTATTTTTTTTGGTTATCACCGAATGCCCCATATTTTCTCCTCTTTGGTCTTTTTATCTTTCCTTTTTGCTTGTTGGATTTTGTTGAGATGATGATGTCTAGAAAAAATAGGGGATGAGTCTCAGATTTAGGAATGGGTTTCTGATTCAGTAGGTGAAATTTTGGGATTTAGGGTATGGGGTTTCCGACTTGGTTATTGTTGGGTACTGTAGATGATATTTGGGTTGAAGTTCTATAGGTTTTTCACTGTAGATGATGATTGTGGCGTGGGAACGATGGCTGGATCGTCGGGAATGCGCCGGAACAGTGGCATCGGCGTGGCATTTCATCTGCCGGGGTAGCTGCTGATGATTAGGGTAAACCCTAATCTATGTTTGGGTTGCTGAGCGGGCCTGATATACTGATGGGCTTAATAGCCTGCAACAAAAATGTAAAATTTGTAAATTAATAATAATAATAGTAATAATAATAATATAACGATAATAATAATAATATAAAAAAAAGACCCGGACAAAAACGGGTGTCTACAGCTGCCCCTATTTGCACATTCTTGTGTTAACAAGAATAGGGCAAAGACGACAAGAAAACACGTTTTTGTCTGGTTCTCCTCTTTTTGGTTTAAAAAAATGGATAGTTTTGTTGGTGGGGACGCCACTGCTCATACGTGATGAAGAGTTCGGGTCGTCTAAGGGTGACATGGTTCCTACGTGATGAGGAAATCTGGTCGAGGGTTGACACTGCTCATATGTGATGAAGAGTTCTTGGCCATCTTAAGGTGATAACACGGTTCCTACGTGATGAGGACGGCTGGTTATCTACGGTTGACACGGCTCCTACGTGATGAGGAGATCTGGTCTGGGGAATGACACGGCTCATACGTGATGAAGAGTTCTGGCCATCTAAAGGTGATAACACGGTTCCTACGTGATGAGGACGGCTGGTTATCTATGGTTGACACGGCTCCTACGTGATGAGGAGATCTGGTCTGGGGATGACACGGTTCCTACATGATGAAGACGGCTGGCCATCTTTAGGAGTTATGGTTTCAAGAGAAACCAAATTAAAGATTTGTTTCAAAAGAAACAGACTCAAAGATTTGTTTCAAGAAAACAAGCTCAAAGATAATGTGTTTCAAAAGCAACTGTCTCGAAAGAGACAAAATTCATTTCAAATGAAACAACTCAAAAGATGACGTTTAAAGGGAATTGTCTCAAGTGAGACAAAATTTGTTTTTAAGGGAAATGTTCTCAAATATCTGTGTTTCATGGGAAACTGTCTCAAATGAGACAAAATTCATTTCAAGGGAAACGATCTCAAAGATGTTTGTTTTGTTTCAAGGGAAACAAATTCAATGATGGTAAATTTTGTTTTCCAAAGAAACAGACTCAAAGATTTTTCTCAAAGAAACTGTCTCGAGAGAAACAAAATTTTGTTTCCAAAGAAAGAGATTCAATGATTTTTTTTTTAAGAAAATAATCTCAATAGCTCAAAGTTTGTCTATTGATTCCTGCATGTTGAGGAAACGTCTTCAGAAGATCTGATTGTTGACTTCAGGAAGCCAAATATGTGGACTGCATTGTTCTTTCAAGTTGAAAACATCTGGTTATTTCCGAGCTCTTATTTCCTGAAAAGATCAGAATGATGCATTTTTGACTAACTATCTTGGAAGTTATGATAGATGTCAAGATGAAATTTATTTGATTTTCTTTTATTGAATTTGTCCTCAAGTGAGGAGGAAAATGTCTTTAATGCACACGATGATAAATGTTTGATACAAATTTTATGTATCATGTATGTATGTGTATGTATGTATGTATGTGTATACTTTTCTCGATCTGGGAGGAGAATGATCGCGAGAGCAGTCTTCACTCTATATTTGATTCAATTTGTTTGTATTTCCACTAGGGTGTACTCTTGCAAGCCTTGACCTGAGATCATTTGTTTGCCTTGCCCTATCAAATTTTGCCCCAAAATAACTTCTCTTGCCCAACTTCGATTATGAGCTTCGGAGATATATTTGTTGAATTCCAAGATATTTCCGCCGGAGAGATAATCTTGTTTGAAAATGTTTTTCTTCTTCTTGAATTTTCAAAATTTTGAAAAATATTGCCTCCTTCTAAGTTTCACAATTGAAGCCAATCATAAAACATGAATTCATTGGATATCAAAAGAATCAAATGCTCTTTTAATCATTGATAGTTACAAATCTTTGACAAATATCAAGATCGACAGGTGGGTTTAGAGGTTGGCTACCTAAATTCTAAGGTGTGTTTCATCCATTGGTCCTCGTGAAGGTAATGACATACCCCTCTTTCTTGATTTGGCATTTTAATCGAAGGCGAACAAAATGACACCACTAGCATAGTCACTTGCTAAACTCTTTAGAACACTTTTGTTTCAGTTCTCTGAAATCTTCAATTTGTTCAAGCTTCGTAGACTTACCTAGTCA